TGGGCCGGGGACTGCTCCGGGGCCTGTGGCCGCTGCTGCACTTGGTCCTGTGGACGCGCTTCGCCAGCACGATCCCGCAGCACGTCCAGAAGACGGGTGAGTGGCCCCCGGCCGGGCCGGGGCGGGACGCCGAGGGTCCCCAGCGCTCGCCGCCCCTCCGCCGCGTTTGACAGTCGGCCCGGGACCGGGCGCCCGGGCGGAAACTGCCCAAAGTTGTCGCCCGCTGCGCCCCAGCAGCGGGGCGCTGGGCACGGCAGGGACGTGGGAGTTTCCTCCGGGAAAAGAGCGAGAAAGTTCAAGTGGAAGGGGACACGGGGGCCCCTTTGTGCCAGCAGGAAAGGCGTTGCGCCGCCTGCCTTCGAGGCGAGCCCCCAACCCCGGAAAGGGAAGTTTGAGCGGCCGGTTAGCGGAGGGCGGCCGGGGAGCAGCGGCCCGGCGTGGCCGCCACGAAGCCAGCCGGCGGGCAGCTCGCTCACCTGGGGCCCCACGGCGGCGATGCTCACCTGGCGAAGCTGGGCGCCCACCAAGTTCTCCGCGAGATCCCCCCTGAAGTTGCCAGTTACTTCCCCCTACAGATCTGGAAGTGGCTACACCCTCCCCCGCGGGGGCAGAGAAGTGTGCCCTGGTATTGTAGACCCTTTTGGAGAAAAGTGATTTCCAAAGCAGAGTTACCTGCCCTCCGTCTGGACTGAGTGGGGTAGGGAGAGGGGCCCGCCAGGTGGAAGGCGTGGCGTTATCTCGTGACTGCTTGGCGTTGGGCATGTTGTCTTCCAGGAGTTGATGGCTCTCTGCAGTTGTCTTTTGGTGCAAATTGGAAAGGTGAACGTGACAAAAGTTCTGCCCGCCCACCAACTGGATCTTGATCTCCAAGGTGCAGAAACACCAAAAGGCAAGAACTGGGAACAGAACTCCCGAAACCTCAAACGTTTTGCAGTCATAGTTCACCACACCGAGCATCTGCAGCTGCGGTTTCGCTAACCGTGTTTGGGGCCAAGTCATAAACGTTCTGGGTTTCAGTTCTTATCTGGGACATGGCACAGTTGGCTGTAGATAACTTTATACTCCTTTTCCTTTTGTCTTCTCTTAGTCTTGGTGAGTTAGATGTCTTGTGTAGGTGGGTCTCTGCGTGGAGTCGATGCCGACTCATAGCGACCCCGTAGGACAGGCTAGCACGAAGCTGTGGGTTTCTGATAACTGTCGAGGTTGTTGACAGCCCAGGTGGCACTGAGACACGCGTCTTATTTACCAGTGGGCACAGAGAGACTTTCCTTTAGGTGTGTGCAGACGCACTCTGCAGCAGTCTAGGTGGTAAATTTCACAGAGGATTCTAAGTAGATTGGCTCTGCAGCAGTCTAGGTGGTAAATTTCACAGAGGATTCTAAGTAGATTGGCTTAAAATTATTGATATACATACGGTGCCATGGATGGAAGGTTTTAATGGAACGAGGAAGAAGTGCTCTTTTACGCAAAATATTGATACACTACACTTCAGTTAATACATTCTCCGTGAATTGTTGTTAGATATTTGTGTATCTTGTGGTACAAGAATGCACCAGTGTCTTTGATTTTACAACACAATTCTCAGCTGTCCTTGCATAACGCATGTTAAAAATGACACCTTTTCTTTGTACATTAAACACCAATACAATTTTGATTTTAGATGATGAAAGGAGGAAATTACTGGGCCCTGATTTTACTAGTCTGTCAGGGTAGGCGTTGTGTCCAAGGATCAGATTTATGATTTGCAAATTTCAAACTCAGCTGTTCATTTTATTGAAACTCTACACTCAGTTTTTAAACAATTAGTTTGAAAAGGCTAATGTTTTAAGTTGGGGTTTTAAATAGTTTTTAAAAACCCACACTTGTTTATGTCGCCGTTTAATTAAAGTTTCAAAATGTTTGAACTACGGATTCATTGTGAATTCATCCATAAATGAATCACATTACGTTTTTGAAGAAGATGGAAGATAGCAGTAGGGACGATGAGAAGTCTAACGCCACTTGCATTTTAATTTTTCCATGAAGAATATAGTTGCAGACTCTTTCTTACATAGTTAGTAGACTATCAAGCCAGGTTTTCAAACAATCTCAGTCTAAGATACCAAAAAAAAATGACCTTGGTCCTAATCTCCAGTGAGGCCAGCTGAAAGAACACCAGTCTTGGTTTTAGTAGATTGCTCAGAGGACTAAAGATTTCTATCGAAGAACAAATCACTAGGAAATATATTTGTACATTTTTTTGGTTTTTGATGTGTTAGCTTCACTCTTAAGAAATCACTTTGGGGGGAGAAAAACTCACTTGTCTAAAAACTCTTCGGAGTAAGAAAAAGTTAAGTTCTTGTTCCTTGAGGCCTACGTGTGGTTAAGTGGCATAGGATAAACAACTTTGTAAAGTCAGTTAACAACATGCTTATTCTGTGAAGGTCAGAGAGTGGAAACCACTGGCCCCAAGATTTGATCTTTGGCTTGTTTACTTTTGTTTTCATACAATGAATTTTCCCCTCCAGACTACTTCCTTTAAAAACATCTAATTTTTAACTTTATGGTTTACATAAAATACAACTCCTTTTGAATTCAGGTTTGACTTTGGAGTAGTATTCCATGGTGACACCAACTCATTATTGCCTGTGTCATGGGCATTAGGCTAAGTGCTTTGAATTTCAAGTGACTATTGTTCCTCAGTATTAGCATGACTTTAAAATTGTTTTCTCTAGTTCATTATTTTTAAACCTGTTTTCCCAATTACCAGAGACACTTTATTGGTGCCATTGTAAAAAGTGCCATTACTCATTCTGCCCTCCCGGTGTTATTTATTGAGTCTCTCCATTGCCAGCAAGTAAGCTTACCATCCTGAATGAATCAGACTGGCCTGGGCTTTACCCTTATTGGGTTTGACTTCAAGGACAGTGTTGTGAGGAGCAAGAAGAAAGATACTGAAACGGTGTGCTCAGAAGCATTACTGAATACTGGCATGTTGTGTGAAGACCCCCATGTCTTCAAAAGGCCATTTTTTTATTGAATGTTGTTTTTGGGGTGTTTTTTTCCTGATCCCTCTGAACATGGTTTCTCATTAACCATGTCTCACTTTTCTATCTCTGCTTTGTTGTTACAGGTCCCCAGTGGGGCTATGTTTAATCTCACTCTCCATTCTGTAGTCAGTGTGATGACCAGAAGGTGCCTGTTCACCTTCCCTTTGCAAACAGCCTAGTGGTAGAAAAGTGAAGGGCAGAAGCTTTGAGATCAGCTTGTCCTGGGATCCAGCCCCTTCTCCCATTTATTGGCCATGTTTTTTGTCACAAGGTACTTACCTAGAAGTCTTGCCAACTGTCTTATTTTGATTCATCTTTTAAGAGCTTCATGTCAACTGTAATCTTCTTAAACCTGCTTGAAATACTCCAGGTGAGCTCAGTGTCCCCTTCTGGATAACTGGCCTTTCTTAGTTGTTAAAAATAGTAAACTGCAATTAAGTGTATGTCTTTGGTGACTTTTGCCCACTGGATCATTCATTCTGCCCACCTGCTCAGTCATGGGTGACGGGTGTGTCTTACTCATTTACATTCGGGGCACCTAACTTTTCCTCGAGGAAATGTGGGGCTGCACCTCTACTTCATCCTGCTGGACCGAGTACCACCAAGAGCCAGCGTTTTTATAGCCCCAAAGTCACTGCTTCTTGGTAAAATCTTTCCTTTCAGGCAGAATAGCTTAGGCTCTCATCTAAATAGGCAACTGGACGCTTCTTACAGTGTGGAATTGGCTCTTCTGAAGAGTTACGGGGGGTGGGGGGGGGGGAATCTTTTTTTAATCCTAGAAATTTTTATTCTGTTTCTTTAACATTGTCAGATTAACCAAAAGCAAGGTAAGCACAGATTTACTTGTGCTTACTTACTAATTTGCAGTGTGTCATTTCACAGGGGTTTTTCACACACCAAAGATTCTGTTTCTAAGCACAGCTGGTCTCTATCTCTCTCCCAATCCCAAGGTACCTTCCTACAGAATCAGGATGAAGGCCACTGATCAAATTTATAACCCCTCATAGAGAGGGATGGAGTGCCCAGCAAGTAAGGTAAGCACAGGCTCACTTGTGCTTACTTATGTGCTGCAAAAAAATGTGAAACTGTTCACTACCAAGTTGTACGATCTGTCCTGTCCTTTAGTAATCAATGCTGACTTACGTGGAGACCTTTAAAGCCATTGGATTAACATTTGAAAACTTACAAAAGAAATGATCCAGGAAATACAGATTATTTTTTTCTACCTCTGGAGGAGAAAGTGAGGCTTTATACTCCTGTAAAACCGGTATGCTGTAGTCTCTGAAACCCATAGAAGCAATTCTGTGCTATAGGGTCGCTATTAGTTGGCATTGATTCAATCGCAGTGAATTTGGTTTGGATGGCTGTGTTGTGACAGGGCCACTGGGCTGTTGAAAAACAAATTTTGTTCAAAAAGTGAAGTCCTAAAAGTCTAAATTTAGTTATCAATATTTTTAAAAATCAGAGTTTGATATTTTGGTCTGGAAGCAATGAAGCAGCATTGGCCTAAGGTCCCATAGAAGCTGAAGGACACCTCGGGCCCTTCTTAGGTCTGATGCAAGACACCCAAAAGAGTCGGTGCGGAGGGAACATCCTTGCTGACTCCAGCGCATGATTTTATATAGTCAGTGTCCACATAACAGCTTACCCTCTCACTGTGGTAGCTTCTGCCCCCAGGTCCTCAGGTGGACTTGAGCAGATCTACTTTAGGATTTTCAGCAGAAACGTGCCAGCCGAGAAGCAGGTAGATCTAGCATGCTCACCCCTTGTTCTGTACTCCCTCCACTGCGGGCAACAACGTGCTCCCAGGTACTCGTTGCTTCTGACTAGATCATGATTATACTTCTCTGCCTGGCCTGTCAGGAGGGTCGGAATGCTGAGCAGGCAGATTGGCTTTCCTCCTGGAGAAGCCCCTTGAAGGGAAAGGAAAGGAGGAGGACTGGCACTTCATGAGCCTCTACCAAGAGCCAGCCACTTGACATTACTGATCTCATGTAATCTTCAAAAGAAACTGGCAAGATACGTGTTCTTATTTTTATGTTATGAAGGAGGACAGCGAAGCCTGCT